GAAGATCCAATTCGCGACCCACGGATCTTCTCTGGCCGGCTACCTCCCCTGGTATATTATTCCTTTCTTTTGGCCAATTTCTACTATTTTTCCAGCGATCCGAGGTGCCTGGTAGAGGCTATTGTTCTGGCTCAAGTGGGGTGAAATGGACACAGAATCATCCTCTTTCAGGTTATTGAAAAACCCGTCGTGTGAAAAGGACAATGGGTATAAAAAGAGGTGTCATGTTTCAAAAAGAACCCTGTTGTTCAAATTATAGTGTCCTTTATTTACTGTGGCGTCTGTGGCATTACAGGATAAATGTTCAAGGATACTTAGCTGGAAGAAAACTTGACAAAACTGTTTTAAAAGGTGGCTGTCCAGCAAACTTGTCTAAACTTAACCATGTACAGCTTCATTATGTTTATTGTAAATAGGTGCTAAATGATACAAATAGTTTTATGTTGTAGGTGCCTTCTTTGTGTCTTTTCCACTCACTCACTCACTCATTCACTCACTCACTCATTTACACACACACACACTTTGAACACACTCACTCACTCACTCACTCACTCACTACATCCTCTTGTGTGGGGTGCCAACCAAAATCTATCATGAGGAGTTTTACAAATTTTTGATACACCAAGGGTTGAGACAAGCTGGCCTTTCATCTCAAGCTCCTTTCTATCCAGACCCTCCTTCCAACCTTTGGCTCTGGTTGACAATGCAACCTTCAGGAGTAACTTTCAACCTATGATTAACTCCTGACCTCTGGTGACCCCTCACACAAAGGCTCTACAGAAAACCAGGCGGGCCTGAAAATTGCTGATATCTTCCTAAACCCTTTGTCCTTCACAGATCTGGTGTCAACAGTCTCAATTTTCATACCTGATTCTTTCCCAGGGACATGGGAGCATTTTTGGTACCTGACCCCATTTCCAACCCAAAGGAAGGTCTGTATTATAGCCTAGTGGATATGGATTATTACATAGATAGTTGTTCCTTTCAATTCATTTTGTGGAAGTGTAGAGTTTTCTGTCATAAAAAAGCTATTGATACTAAAAATATGAAATTAGATTATAAATTTTCTGGTTGACTTAACTAATGAATTATTGCTTATTGCTTTAAGTTATTCTTTTAAATTTTCTGAAGCAAAGTTGAAAGACAAAATCTGTTTAGAATACAGAAAAATCTGTTTAGAATACAGAAAAAATATTCACAAAACTTATGCCAGAGCACCTTTTTGGAATTGGAAAAATCTAGACTAACCAGCATCACTTGTTCTTACCTATAGGCTGTACCTCCACCCTGTATCTGCTCAAATGTCTACTTAACAGCTTAGGTAATGCCATGTGACAAGATAATTGGCTTAACCCTGACCTGCTGGACCCTTCAAAGGGAAGGACTGTGCCAGGCAAAATTACTAGTTCCCTCTGTACTGAATTTCATACATTGTACCTTACTTACATGTATCTATGCTGGGTAAAGAACACAATGATATGGTCAAACAGCATTTCCTTTCATTGAAACATAAACCATACAGTCAAAATTGCCCAAGAAGACCACTCTATGTGGACAGGTGGTCAAGGGACAAATTTGTCACACTGGCCAGGTGGTCCTTATGTAGAGGTGGTCACTAGTAGTACAGGTTTGATTATATTGTGCATTTAACATGTTTGGTTACTAAACACAAGCCACAGCATCAATCCACAAAACTGTAATAATACTAGTACATTTCCTATGACAGTACATGTTTTGTAAATAGAGAGAGTCATAAAATTAGCCTGAGTGCCATCCTTTTTATTTAATAGCTCTATAAAATCGCTCCATCAAAGTATATGGGAGCCCTAGTAAACTTGGTAAGATGGCACCTAGGCTACCAGGTATTCTAAAACCACATACCTTGTCAAAGAGAGGCTTCCACTTCTACAGGACACCAGCAGGCAAGCCAGGAGGACATCAGGGTGTGGGGAGAAGGGGACAAAAGAGAGAGAAGATGATTAATGTGCGAACTGGGAACAAGAGATAGCCTCTACCAGGCTTTGGAAGCGGCTGGAACAAGTAGAATTTGGCCCAAAAGAAAGACAGCATGCCAGCAGAGTTGGTCTGCTAAAAGAGTATAGTTACCTGGCAGTATCCATTCGCCAGAGACACACATGAGAGTGGGTGGGTGTTGGACCTCTCTGGTGAATGGATACTGCCTGGCCAATTTCATACTCTTTTCCCACCCTAGGATCTACTTGGAGATTAATGTTATCTCTCTTTTTGGCCAGTTTCCACCTTTTCCAGACGCCTCCTGAAGCCTGGTCAGAGGCTAAGCACGTGACACAGTTCTATCCTAAGAAGCCTGGTAGAGGCTACAAAAGTGACACAGTTCTGTCCATCTGATTCTGAGTGCCACACAAATGATGATTAACGACATCAGGAAGATGCTAGTCTGTAATCAAGATGTCTGACACTGATAAACTACACAATACCAACACAGCTGGGGAAGGGAAGTTCTGTATTTTCAGTTTTACTTTCTGGGTTCTTCTTTCTTTTTGTGGCCTGCGTGCCATCCAACTTGTAAGGGGGCATGCATGCCCTTTTTCGTAAAGGCGTAATCAGGCCTTTTTAGCCTTCGTAATCCATCGGCAGCCTCCCAAAAAATCAATGTAATTCGTAATAGCACATTAGCCGCAAAGTGTAAAGTTGTAATCAGCTCTGAGACTTTAACGTAATTGGTGGCGAAAATTTTGCATATTTCGTAATCGCTAACCCCCATGCAGGCCCTCTTGTAACAGTGATATTCATAATTGCACCACTTAAATCTCCTTGGACAAACTCAATAGACTTTTCTTAAGATGTTTGTTTTTAAAATACAATTCCGAGTGTTATCAATTAATGTTATGAAGTATGATCAAAATTTCTTTCAAAAACTGGATTCTTTTAAAAAATTGACAAGAGAATGTCTGGATTGTAGACTAGAAACTGAAACCCAGGCCTACATGTAGGTACATGTACACATGTTCTCTGTCTGTTGCTGCTAATTTGTGTGAAACCAGAGCCTAAAGCCCAGGGTAGGCAAGGGTCAGCCAAGCAGACAGGCTTAGAAAATTGGGGCTGATCAACTTTCATAACAATTAACTTCTTTCCTCTACAACACATCAAAGGAATGGAGAAACTGTTGCCTTTCTTCAAAAAGCAGTTACTCAAGCAACTGGATATAATTTTGGAAAATCATATCCAATTTCTTTTGGCGTATCGTATTACCTGGATGTCTAACCTTCATCGATGTGTTGCCTTTCTTTTTTAAAGTTTTATCTTTAGAGATATTGGTTGTAAAAAGGCAGTCACAAATAGACAGAAGTGATTGCTGACAAGGATATTGGACTACTTTTTCACTCACAGGGCAGCTTAAGGTTGTAAAAAAGACTTTGCTACTGTCCCTAATAAGATATTGTAAAATGTACTTGTTTAGAACAGGAGTCTATACTAGCCTAGATACCAGACCCATAGCACACTAGACCTAAAGTTTTTTATACACTGTATAATTTTGGGCCCAGTGTGCTATGGGTCTGGCATCTAGGCTAAGGTCTTACATAATCGTGAATTTAGTTTGAGAAATGTTTTGGCATGAGCCCAAGAATATATGAAAAGGTGGGTCAGTGAAAAGGTGGGTCAAAAATGATTTATGCTTTGGGAAATGTTTATTAATTAAAAAAGACCCAAGGCTCGAAATGTTCCGCACTGCAACTCCTGAACTTTTAAATCGAGAAGCCCTAATTTGGTAACTGGTATTCTACTGTTACCCGATCAGTGTGTTTTCAAAATATCATAAGGCATCAAAGGCTGAAAAGGGTACAAGGCAGAGTTGATTGAACAAAAGGCATTCTGTCAGGCCTTGGAAAAATGTTGTGTTAGAAGAAAAAACTGCCAGCCCTTGTCTTGTTTTGTGTGGACCTCTGCAAGGAACGTAAATTTTTTGAGCTGATCGACCTTTTCTAGCTCCATGATCTGACACCTGAGTCATGAAATGTTGTACAATCAATTGGTTTTCCAACATTGACATTGAAAATGAAAGTGTGCTAATACAAGTTTTACTTAGTTAAACTGTATAAGCTGAAATAATCCCTATCTACCGACCCTAATTTTTTCAGGACTGAAACAGGAAACATTTTTTCTCTAGGCCTCAGCATGTTTTCAAAATATCATAAGGCATCAAAGGCTGAAAGGGCACAGGACACAGATGATTTAACAAAAGGCATTCTGTCAGGTATTTTGCCAGATGGCATTTCAAGAGGAAAGGTATAATTGACATAACAAACAGTTATTTACAATACAGTTCTTCTAAATGGAGGAAGTGAGATGTGATCAAAGAGTTTAGAATTTGGAAAATCTCATCAATTTGCTTATAACGAACTTACACGTGTCAGTAACTATGATAATTATAGTCGGAGATAAGGTATAAAAACAACATGTCTTTTTTGTTATGCAAAAAGGAAAAAACATGTTATCTGGACAAATATTTATGTCAAGGCTACTGTTTTGCAGTGAAGCAACCCTTTTAGTCTCTACTCTAGGTTTCTGAGCAGAGTTTCTTTGGCTTTTTTACTGATCGCTGTTTTCTGCTAGCTCGTTTGTTCTAATAATTAGCCAAGCTTGATTAACTCTTCAAGAACCCACATACCAATGAAACTTCGCCACATTAGAACACAAGTATGATCACAAAATAGCCCAAATTAATCTTTCATCCTCTCTGCAAATAATATAAGGAAAGAGACCTGGCAGCTAAAAAACAGTCTCCACCAGACTCCTTTGCAGGCTGAATAGATATGCAGGCAAACTGGACCCTCTATGGCTGGCCAACTCTCCTGGCCAGCTACATTCTTTTCAGGCCAATTTCTACCATATATTCAGCCTGCATAGGAGTCTGGTGGAGACTAGCTAAACAGGTCTGGAGCCCAGGCTACACAAATTGACCAAAAAATAACCAACAAAACCACCAGTCACACTGCGAAAAGGTCTGCACAGGAGGCTAGAGTCAGTCTGGTAGAGTGAACTTGAGAGGCTTCAAGTTCGACCACAACATTTCAGCATGGCAACTTACTGGCACCTGGTAATCTTCAAGTACATAAACATCTCAGCCACAAACCTGCCATTTAGTGGGTTACACTGACTCAGAGGTATTGTTGTATCCATAACCAGGCATGGTCCTGGATAGTCCACACGCATCTAGAACCATGCTTTATTCAGAGCCATGCTCAGGCACGGTTCTGGATAGTCCACGCATATCCAGAATCGTGCTTTATCCAGAATAATGCTCAGGCACAGTTCTGGATAGTCCAACTCTATATCCAGAACCGTGCTTTATGATGAAGTTTATCCAGAATCATCCTCAGCCATGGTTCTGGATATTCTACGTGTATCCAGAACCATACCTGGACACACATGGAGACTATCCACAACCATGCCTGATCCCAATTCTAAACCATTCAGTCATAGAACTACACTCTGGTAGATTAAGGCATATTTTCTGACACTATGGTGTTAAGAATATGCTGTATACTACTGTACATTTTATATTTTTACATACCTAAACCTACGAAAATATTTGGGTGCAGAAAAAGAAATTTAGTTGCACTAAGGTGCACATGCACCCAGTATTTCGCGCTCTGTTCAGAGACACAGGTGTGGTAGCAGGTTGATTGAAAGGGTCAGACTGAGACCTTCCCCAGCCTCCTCACTGGTTAATGGGCCAGACTACGGGCACAAATTAACTCCACTCTGACAGACACTCTCATGAGGGCCTGCAGGGGGGGGTCCCGACAACGCTCTACGCTGAATTCGGAAACCTCTCGATTACGCTTTATGATAAATCCCAAGTGGCTACAATGCATTACGTAGAATTAAAACGGCGAATACGCTCTACGCAAAAATATTAGAGCGGTCCGTCTACGCTCTACGTAGAATTAAAACGGCCGATTACGCTCTACGTTGAATTAGAGTGGTCCGTCTACGCTCTACGTAGAATTAAAATGGCCAATTACGCTCTACGGAAAAGGGCATGCGGGCCCCCGTTAATGGGCCAGACTATGGGCACAAATTAACTCCACTCTGACAGACACTCTCATAACCAAACTCCCAGACCTGGCCACAGGTTAGGGAGGTGGGCACAAATTAAGTACAGTTTGACAGACACTTTCAGAATGGTTAGTCATCTCTGACAGACTTCTACTCAGCACTGATCTGAAATTCAGATGTAATTGTATGTTGTTGTGCTACATTCTTCATGATATATTTGTGCATAGGTATAGAACACATTCCTCCTGGGCACCATTTTAAGGGGGTTCGTCAGTTTGACTTTGTTTTCTGTTTTCCCTAAATATTCAATCTTATTTCAGTAAGCCTACATGTAATATTGGGCTGCAGTTGTCCATATTTTGGTTATATGGACCCATTTATTATACAGCAAAACCAGTTGGTTAATAAACATAGGTTAATGAAGGTTAGACATGTGGGTAACGAGATACACTGGCAACTGGGTAGATTTTTCACTTTTTCGGAATCTATCCAGTTGCTTGAGTAACTCTTTTCTTCTGCAGAAGAAAGACTAAATTAATGTCACATCTTCCTGAGCACAAAAGTTATCTTCCATGCAAAATTTATGACCCTAGTATGTCTAGATCATGAGATATCAAAACCGGACATTCTGCTGCAGTACCAAGAAAAGCCACCTGGGGCAGAATTTAATCATTTCTTGGTCTCATCAAGACCCACCCACTTACCAAGTTTCATGACAATGCATACTAAGCTTCTTGAGTTATGCTGTTCACAAACAGACAGACAAATGGACAAACACTACTGAAAACATAACCTTCTTGGCAAACGTAATAAAAACAAAGAACACAAAAAACTTACATCTTCAACAGCCAGTGGCAGCTGTGGATATTCTATGCGGATCATGTCCGGCGTCAGCACGCTTCTCTGACCACCAACACCGGACCCTTCACTCATCTCGAAGTTAAAGTTGGTGTTTGTGGTTGTTGTGGTGTTTAGCAGCGAGGCCGGCGTCTCGGGGAGAACCGTGATCTCCTCCAGCTCAGGGGCATGCCGGATCATGCTGCCCAGACCCCCGCCAAAGTCGTAGAAATCATAGAAGTAACACTCCCCCTCCATGGCTCCCATTCTGCAGCGAACCACACGGTCTACGGGCCTCCCTCTCTACACAGCTAACCTGCAAGATACGTGAGTTAACAGTATTAGCAGTGTTAGCAGACCCCTTCCGAAGTTGTAGAAATCATAGAAGTAACACTCTCCCTCCATGGCACCCATCCTGCAGCGAACCGCACGAGCTACGAGTGTCCCTGTCTACACAGCTAACCTGCGAGACATATCGGTGTAGGTTAGACATTCAGGTAATACCTACATACCTACCTATGGTAATAAGGCAACACCAATTTAATTTCTTGGTTAACGGATTCACCCACTTCATTTTTTTCTGATTTGCAAATAAAAATAAAAATTCAGAATCAACTGCAAAATGCTCATATTGGCCTGTTTTTATTTTTATTTTTTTTTCGCCCGCCCGCTCCATTATTTTTCTAGAAAAATCCGTTAACCAAGAAATTAAATTGGTGTAGCCTAAGATACACAAAAAACATTTACTGGATATGATTTTGGAAACAGACGTTTCAGGTAAAGTAAGTGACACTGGAGAGTTGTTACAAAAGCAGGTTTATAGAAGTTTAGGGAGTTTATTGCAAATTCATGCCCGAAGGCTAATTGCAAATAAAAGCAACATGTATGAAAAAGAAGATACGATTATGATAACATAAGAGTCTACATGATAGTACATTTTACAATATACATGGTACTAATAGTAATTTTGTTGGTATAAGTACGAGCTGATTGATATGCAAACTTTAAACAAGTGAAGACAAATTTTTTGAAACTACAGTCAAACCTGGCCAAGTAGACCACCCAGGGGACCACTCAAATTTGGCCTACTTGAGCAGGTGGTCTATTTGAAGAAAATAAGACCAACGCAAGACATTACAAAAATATGGCAGTTTACAAGTATTATATTATTATTATTATAATTTATAAACCATTATTGCATCATCAAAGTACATGTATATTTACTCATTCTTTCTTGACATGCACACAAAAGTATAGTACTAGTGGTTGACACATGAACAAGCAAAACACTGATATACTTCCAGAAATAAAATATTTATTGCATAGAAAGTACATGTATTTGATTTTTACCACTGCAGTGCTTTGAAACATACAATCATGTACCACAGGCGTCGCATTTACGCTTCGAAATTTCACAAGTTACTAGTATCTACACTTGGGTGTTTATAAAATTTAGCCTACATTACGATTTAGAGGTTTCTTTATAAAGTTACAGAAACGATAAGGCGTTCATTTTGTGCTACTACGGGACAATTTCGAAAACATGAGACGAGTTCCAAAATTCAGCGTCACCCAAGCGTGCAGACAACAACAATCAAAATGGCGGCCCGGCGGCCAACTTCACAAACGAGTTACAAACTACGAGAAATGCGGCATAAATCTGCTTAATTCTGAGGTAGAAATACAATCAAAAGTTTAACGTCATTTGTACTACAAAATGTAAAAGCCCCAGTAGCGTGCTAGCACGTGCTACGACTAAAACGAATCGAAAATGTGGGAACAAAGCGTAGTGAAAGAAAATGGCGTCACATTTTTTGCGAGTCAATTTTTACGGTAAAAAATACAATTAAACGTTACTGTTAAAGGCTACAGTGTCTGTAGAACTTTCTCGATGCCGCCCTGGATTCCATTACGCTCCCAAGACGCCGGGCTTCGCTGTAAACTCGTCTGCGGCGCCGGACATGCAGCGGCGTGCACCGGCATGGCGTGCAGCATGCAGCGGCTTGAAATAATTTGTTAAGATCACCACGGTCTGTATGAATCGTTCAATCGGTACCACAGTTGTCGACCAGACCTTTTTCTTCAAGTTAATTATGACGTCCCCACGTTTGTACTTTTCCGAGACGCTTCTTTGGTACAATTAAACCGATCTTTCTCAAAGCTTCTGTGAGTTGTTTACAAGATTCTCAGATTGGGATATTTCACCAGCATCATGGGTGAGCAGCTAGTTGAGTAAAGAATGAAAACACCTTTTAACTCCAAAAATTTTAAGCCCTCAAGTCACCATTAGTAAATGTACTTTTCTTTTATTCAAGCATCGTCTGTGACAAATAAATTTACATTTTGTACGGTAGATTGTACAGTAGAATCAAACAGCACGTAAAGTTTTCACCCATATTACAGTAGTCTGTTCCAATGACCCAACATCGTGACCCCCTGGCGCCATCTTGAATCGCTCGGCCGGCAAAACACAATTTTTTGCACAACGTAAACAGGTCGATCTCTCCATAAATCCCCGCGAGTTTTCATTAAAAATCGATGTAGACACACTTTTAAAAATGATGCGGTCGCCATGGGAAGGTTTTGGTCCCGCGTGGTCCCGACTCGAGCTGGCCGCGGTCGCGTCAGGCAGGTGGTCTACTTGGGCAGAGCGCTTAATGCTTGTGCCTATGGGAAAATATTTTCGGGACCGGGGAAAACCGGTCTATTTGGCCAGTAGGTCGTCTTGACAAGGTGGTCGCATGGGCAGGTTTGACTGTACATGTATCCCACTAACCTGTGGTACCTGGAGAGGTGGTGTGGTCATTTGCGGTGCGCTCCTCGGCTTGTAGTGTCTACAGAACGCCGTGTGAACAGGCTGCAGGAATGTGGACCGTTCCAAATCCCAGAAAATCCCTCCGGCGTGTTATCACAGTGTGGTCAAGCTCCTGGCTGCTGAAGTCCTCTGAACGTAATCTTTTCCACAAACCTGTAGTAAAAAAAAATAACAGTTCAACAGGCATCAGTGTACAGGGATTGTTGTACAGTACAGGGCTCAAAACACTTTTTTTTTATTACCTGTCATATCATAATAATATGTGAGCCATGATACTTGATAGCTCAAAATATACCACTTGCATATGCAGGTAAGTGCAGGTAAGATTAGAGCTCTGCAGATATTCCTAACCTGCACTGGCCCATGTACTACAGTTATTTTGTGCTCTGGATACTAGTATCCATTCCTATTTTACTAGCTGCCAGATTTTTATTGTCTATTCTGCAAACATGTCCAGGAGTCTTTCTGAAGAGCCTGTACAGACAGTAACCAGGCATGTCTGGATTGGCTCATGTCCTGATACCCTAACTAGATTTACTAGAAGGAACACTCCAGCATTGTTATTTGCGTACAATGGTGTTATCTGCCTTCTCCAGGCGTTAGTTGCAAATTGGTCGTGAAACCGAAGCCTCGCAGGCTGCCCTGGTGCTGAAAGATAGAATCCCTCTCTAACTCTGGAGCTGTAACTTTAACAACAAGATAAACCTCTCATTGTTTGTACTATAAATTATACCCCCTATGTTTTTGATATGCCCCATATTTTCTGTTGCCACCCAAAACATCTGCTTGGAGATTAGGCAAAACTATGTACAGACTCTACAGCCTTGCACGGCATGTGGAGTCTGTCTGTGAGTTCAACTTGATGTAAAGACTTTGCACCGACAGGTAACAACATTCCTCACTGCGGCTGCCAGGCATTCTGATACAAGTTACAACAAATATCAATTTGCATAAAAAATTTTAAAAAAGAATGCAGACTATCTGCATGCAGACAATGTTGCAGCCTAGAGTCCCGATATCAGGCTACAATTTGATAGACAGCATAGTTTATGACATCTTATATAACCTACAACACTGTCCTATTTTTTGTCATCTACATGTACATGTCTTTCCATAGCCTCCATAGCATGCCAAAAACTGGAGGTTTGGGGGGTCTTCAGGGTCTTTGGGAGCTTTTATGTGCTATTTTCTGATTCATTGCATATAGACAACATAGTCGGCTTGGTAGAACTGGGCTAATCAGAAAACAGCCGAAGACCACCAAACCCCCAGTTCTATAACTTAGTATAAGCCTGCTACGGAGGCTAGTCTTACTGCACATTCAGCAATACCATATGAGTGAAAAATCAGGTCAAGAAATGACACTGTAACATCCTCTGATGCAAACAGGGTTACGTGGTGATATTGAAAATGCTTCAGTCGTCATAGCAGAACTCACACTCAGGTAATCCAAGAACAAACACCTCCCTTTGCTGCAGCGCTGTCAGTAAAATCAGTTCACGACGGCTACAAAATTAAATCAACAGGTGAAATTTTCACTGAAAACCCACCCAGCAGGGCTCTCCCTAAGCAATGAAGCAAGCGTAATCCCCTTCTCCCCAAAATCCTAGCACCTCTCCCAAAATCTGCAAATTTATTGCCTTCTCGTAGTATTTTCATAAAAATTAGCTGATTAGGGGGCTCTCCCCAAAAAATTTCTGGGGGAGACCTCTGGAACCGATGTGTACCAGTATTGGCTTAGGCATAAAGCAAGACCACATCAGAACAAGTTGTACCTTTTGAGTTGCCTAGGAACAGTCTATTCAAAGTTGTTGAGTCTGAACCACAATCTCTCACCTGTCTATAGTATCAGTCCAAGCATCACAACAAAACAAACACGGCCAGGGAAGACAGGTAAAAACCGATGTATGTGCTATACTACAGTACTCAGTATTAGCTTAGGCATAAGCAAGAGCATGTCACAACAAAGTTGTACCCGTTGACAACACAGGGCTCTCCCCAAGCAATAAAGCAAAGGGTGTTTCCCCTCTCTACAAAATCCCAGCACCCCTCCCAAAATGTTACAATTTAGGGTTTCTCTCAGTATTTTCATGAAAATTTGCTCATTTTTCCCCCACGACATCATCCGATAAGGGAGCACCTCTTCCCTGAGAAATTATGGGGAGACCCCTAACAACAACTTTGTATTACCTGTTTTAGTGCTCGGAACAGTCCATCACAGTCACAACCCCTCACCTGTCTGTAGATTCAGTCAGAGCATCCGACCAAAACAAACACGGATACAACAGACAGCTACAAAATCAAATCAACAAGTAAAACCAGTGTGTACTAACACAGTGTTGGCTTAGGCATGAGCAAGGCCAGGTCAGAATAAAGTCGTACCTTTTGTGTTGCTTTGTAGGAACAGTCTATTGAAAGTTGTCGAGTCTGAACCACAATCTCTCACCTGTCTATAGTATAGTATCAGTCATAGTGTCCCAGCAAAACAAACACGACCGTGGTCATGTAAAAACTGTGTGCTATATAGGTATTAGCTTAGGCATAAGCAAGGCCATATCAGAATAAAGTTGCACCTTTTATATGGCCTGTTCAGAACAGTCTATTCACAGTCATAACCCCTTACCTGTCTGTAGATTCAGTCAGAGCGTCCGACCAAAACAAACACGGCCGCTGCGGTAGACAGAGCGTGTGTGACCACCTCGCACCACCAATCAGAACAACTCTGCCGCGGCCACGTATCAGGACTACTAATCCCCTCGCTCACTAAATAGATCAACTATAGCTCAGCCTACACACCAATTGCAAGCTGCTGCTAGCTATAGGTTCTTTCAACACATGTACACAACATTGCCTACCTCCAAGCAGATCTTTTGGTAATATGCGTATTAAATTGAAGGTTGGCTGGCGAAAAGAAATATTACAGTACAAAAAAGAAAACCTAAGTAAAATTGCCTAAAAACAGCTCGGCAAAATTGCAAAAGCTGCTACTAGATTCTTTCAACACATGTACACAACATTGCCTAGTCTCCAAGCAGATCTTTGGTGGCTACAAGACAGTATCAAGTTTACAACAGTCTAAAACTGGAACTGTTATATACCAGTACCACTGAAGTTTGGCTGGCAAAAAAACAAGTACTGTACATTGTACAAAGAAGAAAACCAGAATAAAATTGGCTACAAACAGCTACAAACAGCATATGCACCAAACATTCTTTCTAGGTTCTTTCAACACATGTACACAACATTGCCTACCTCCAAGCAGATATTTGGTGGCTACAGGACAGCATCAAATCGAAGGTTTGTTGGCAAAAAGAAATATTACAGTACAATTTACAAAGAAGAAAAATTGCCTAGAACAGCTCAGCAAAATTGCAAAAGCTGCTACTAGATTCTTTCAAAACATGTTCACAACATTGCCTAATCTCCAAGCAGATCTTTGGGGGCTACAAGACATTATCAAATTGGCAGGGCAGTATTCAATACACAACTGAAGGTTGGCTGGTGAAAAAGAAAGATGAGTACAAAGAAGAAAACCAGAATAAAATTACCTAAAAACAGCTTTTTTTGCACAGAAATTTTTCTTTCATCCAACATTGATTTTGGGTGAAAGAAAAATTCCACTAATTTCCAGTGCAAAAAAGAAACCCCGATAAAAAAGTCTAACAACAGGCGAAAAATAACCCAAAACCCAAACCTCTGCTTGGAGAGAGCTCAGCATACATGTATGCACAAGCTGCTACTATACTACATTCTTTCAACACACAACATTCACCCACGTATTAATCTAATTCTCTCTCACAGTCAGAAAACAAGACCCCTATTCATTTTCTTGATAAAAATGCAGTCTTTCAGGCTTTGGTGGTGAGGATTCGAAGCAAACATCTGAAGAATCCATAATGAGAACTCCACCTACGTGTGGTATTGAGTTAATTGCAGGTTGGATTGCTGTTCGTTTGACTGTTGTGGTTAGACTGTACTTACACATGCCTGGATGGTTCAAAACTAGAAAGAAGTACAGTATCTACACTGTACAGGACTGATTATAGTCTGGGGTTTAGATTACAACATAGTCAAGGCTCGAAATACTGGGTGCAAGTGCACCAAAAATTGGAGCTGTGCGCCCAATTTTTTTGGCACATATCAAATGTATAATAGTATACAGGATATTCTTGGCATCTAAGTATCAGAAAAATAATAAAATCTTTGCTGTAATACTTGTTTAAGATGTTGAAGTTAGCTCCCTTTTCAGATTCAAGCTAAGAAGAGGAGCAGTAGGAATTAGGTTTCATTTTACATGGTGCACCCAAAAACTTTTTTGTGCACCCAAACTTTTAGCTTGGGTTCACCAGTGCACCTTTTCACAAAAATGAATTTCAAGCCCTGATAATGGTAATGTTTAGGCACCCCATACCAGATTTCATTATCAAATTGGCTAAATTTTATCAATATCAGTCACACATGGTTCACAGACCCCTTCTACCCTTCCACCCCCTTACAACACATTTGGTACAGCCTGTACAAACAAAACATGGACTAAACCAATATAAAACAGGAGGGGGCGGCCCTGTGTTGACAGATGATGACCATGTGTTGACAGATGATGGAGTAGACACCCAACAGACACCCTCCTGTGATGTTTGTTCTTTGTATTTACCTGAGAACTGGAGGTGTGACTCTCAGCTTACTGAGGAGGTGTTTGTAAACAATGACACACTCTTTAATAAAATCCACTTAAAATATTTGTTTGTATGTATACGTTATAGACCTTACGAAAGTCGCTGTACTTTTGTTGTGTCAATAAAGAATGTATAATTTAAGAATGACATATTTTTTAGGATATACTATTGAAATTTCTATTCATAAACTTTACTGCATCAATCAAAGACCCCCCCCCCCACACACACACACACAAACATACAAGCATAGCCTCCACCTGGCTTCAGAGCTGGCTGAATAGAGTAGAAATTGGCAGAATAGACAGATAACATGCCAGGGGAGTACAGCTTGCCACTTTCTTGACTTAAGCAGACCGACTCCCCTGGCATGTCATCTGTCTTTCTGGCCAATGTCTACTCTTTCCAGGCCCTTCCCAAAGCCTGGTAGAGGCTA